CTCCGCACTAGGCACAGGAAAGTGGCCGTCTAGGGCAGGAGAGCTGCCAGCCTGGCCACCCAGGACCAGGTGTGCATGAAAATCAAGGGGGTCCACTGAGACCCCCGACACTGAGCCCTGAGCTTACAATGGCCGTCCTGGGTCAGACCAAAGGTCCATCTAGCCCAGTAGCCTGTCTGCTGACAGCGGCCAACCCTAGGGACCCTGGAGGGGATGGACCGAAGACAGTGACCAAGCCATTTGTCTCGTGCCATCCCTCTCCAGCCTTCCACAAACTTTGGGCAGGGACACCACTCCTACCCTCTGGCTAATAGGACTCCATGGACCCAACCTCCATCACTTTATCTCACTTCCCTTTAAACTCTGTTCTAGTTGTAGCCTTCACAGCCTCCTGCAGCAAGGAGTTCCACAGGTTAACTATTTGCTTTGTCAAGAACAACAACTTTCTCTTACTAGTTTCAAGCCTGCTACCCATTCCTTTCCTTTGGTGTCCTCTAGTCCTTCTTTATGGGAACTCAGGAAGAACTTTTCTGAATGCACCCTCTCCACCCAACCCCTGCTTTTAGAGACCTCTATCCTGTCCCCCCTCCGTCTCCTCTTTTCTAACCTGAACAGTCCCAGTCTCTGTAGCCTCTCTTCATCTGGGACCTGTTCCCAACCCCTGATCATGTTAGTTGCCCTCCCTTCTCCCAGCCTCTCTCTTCCCCTCTCCCACCTCCTTTTCCTAGTCTCCCCAAGTTTTGTTCAATAAAGACAGAGTCAATGTTGGAAGAAACGTTATCTTTATTTTGTACATCAAGAAGAAGGGGGGCTAGGGAAGGGCAAGTGGAAGGAGGTGAGGGAGGAATGGGGTACAAGCCCCCGATGGGGAGGACTGGGCTGGCTCTGCGGGCTTCTGGGGGTGGAAGCTCTCCTGCAGCCCCCCAATTACTCCCTCTCCCCAGATGGCAGCCTGCGGCAAGTGCAGCCGGTCTGATGGCCGAGTGCTGTGATGTGCCCAGTGTGGGCACTCCGGGCACTCCAAGCCAGGACTGGTTTTCAAGCGGGGCACCCCTGAGAACTGTCTGTCCGGGGTGGGGGTCGGGTTCCTTTAAGCGCAGCCCTCGGCTAGCCTGAGACAGCATCTCCATGCTCTAAGTCCTCCTCTGATGCCCTGCCGGCACTGCTTCCGACCATCCTTAAGCCTGGTTCAGGGTCCACTTAATGTGGACATGCTAGTTCGAATTAGCAAAACGCTAATTCGAACTAGTTTTTAGTTCTAGACGCGTTAGTTCGAATTAGCTTAGTTCGAATTAACTAATTCGAACTAAGTTAGTTCGAACTAACTCTGTAGTGTAGACATACCCTTAGGGAGTAATTATGGACTAGGCACTAAACTTTAAATTCACACCCTAGCTTATCCCACACTAACTTTCCATATAGACAAGTCACTATTTATGCAGCATGGACATCCTGCCACCCAACCAAAACTTTCTTTCCTCCCTGTTATGACCATTTTTTTCTCCCTCCTCTCCTTACCACTTTAAAAATATAGGGTATGTCTACACTACCCCGCTAGTTCGAACTAGCGGGGGTAATGTAGTCATCCGCACTTGCAAATGAAGCTTATGCAAGTGGGGGAATGTTATTAACACCGGTGTTCTCATCAAATTGTTAGTGGCTAATGTCAGTGTTGGAACGAGGTGTACAGCTAGTTCGGATTAGGAAACCTAATCCGAACTAGCTAGTCCGTGCCACATGTAGCCACGCAGCACGGAGTCCGAACTAGCCGGCATTTAAAAATGGTGCCGGCCGGCTTCATGCAAATGAAGCCCGGGAAATTCAAATCCCGGGCTTCATTTGCAAGTGCGGATGACTACATTACCCCCGCTAGTTCAAACTACGGGTATGTCTACACTACCCCGCTAAAGACCAGAGTGGCATCTAAGGCTCAACGGCAGCTGAACACCTTAGATGGCAAAGAGAATGTGATGTATACTCTGGTGTGAGGAGGAAACTGAATAGTTAGGACCACATAAGACATGCTTCTCTGTTACCGTTGCATACTCACATTCATTTACACACGTCAAGTAAGTAAAAAATGGTTTTGAAACACTATAGGAATGATTTATACCTACTTTGTAGTGGTTAAAATAACTAAAAATACACTTCAATGCAGAATCAAGACTATAAGGTAACAACCTTTCAAAGAAGGTCCTGAATTCCTTAGTCCCTAGCCCCGCCACGCAGCAATCACTAGCTACCCCATTGCCCCACTGTTTTTCAATGTGTTATACATTAAAAACACATTCGCTCAGTATTTATACTAAAAGGATCAATATGAAATAAATAACAACATTGATACTTGAACTGTCATTAAATTCAGTATTAACACCTACCAAAACTGATAGAACAGTTTGTACTTCTCCCTTGATTAAGGCTACAGGCTGACTGTAGTCAGCTTCCACTGTACTGGATTAAATTCAGTTCACATTTTGAAGGTTACCTTTGGAATCATGAAAACAATGTTGTTGTTGCAGATGTTTTTGTTTTGTTAATTGAGAACCTAATTTTGCTCCAGAATTTATGTGGCAAGTGAAAAAAATGGGGATTTATAGGCACGTACACACATACATGATTACATAATAAACAGAATGCTGCTCATGAAAGATATCAATCTCTTTGAGCTGGTATATTATAACAGACCAACATATCACCCATTCTAAATGTAAAGAAAAACATGCTATAGATAAAAATGTAAAATAAAAGTTAGTCAAGTGAAATTCAAACAGAAATACTTTTAGTTTTGCAGATGACTGCTGAGTTAAAAGAGTTAAAAGAGAAGTTCCTACTTAAGTTTTACTAATGAATGAGCTATACAACAAATATATTACAGTAATTTTTGTCATATACTCACTCTGTTATGACCTTTTGCTCTTCTTCCAAAAGTATATTCCAAGGCTAATGTTGGTTTTGAAATTTCATCTCTATCCAAGGAAGATACAATATATGTTGTCTGCATATAGTCTTTCAAGAATATTAGAATTTACTTCACATACAATAACTTTTACCTAATTCAATATAGTAACCAAACAGTAAAGAATTTATACTGAATAAACATGTATATAAAAAGTATAACTTAAAACAGACAGTAGATGCGTCAGTTCCTTAATGAATCTCAAAGGGACACAGAAGACCAAATTTTCAAAACTGTGCACCTTGTGACTGAGCACTCAATCTACCAGGGACAGCTCTCTAGAAATGTGGTTCTAGTGCTGAAATGTTTTACTAACACATTACAGATGTTTAGATAGCATTAATTCTTCAAAAATAATGCATCAGGTCACTAGAGAGAAAATGTAGCCTACTCATCATCCATATTTTTACACAATAACTTTACTAGCATGTAATGTTTTCTGTAACGCTGCTACAAAATATTGTTGATGATATTACTCCCAGAAATGCAAAATACTTTTCAAAACTTAACACATACCTGTCAAGACACCTCAGTATAATAGTAGTTTTTCCCTGAAAATTAAAAACAATGAATAACACTATTGTAATGTCATTAAAGCATAAAAGTTATTTAATTGTACATACTGTAATGCTTTATTATTGGAATGATTAAAATAATGTATTTGAAAATTGTAAAGTTATGCAATAATTTGTAGTCTCATTACTAGAAAGTTAAGTGCCTACTTTCTATCAGAGTGTAGCTACACTGCTATTAATATAATTGCAATAAATTGCTGGATATGACAGAGTACAGGCAGTCCCCGACTTACGCGGATCCGCACTTACATCGGATCCGCACTTACGAATGGGGCTTTTCTCGCCCCGGAGCTCACGGGCGGCGGGACCACCCAGACCGCAGCGGTCCCGCCACCGCGTCCTCCGGGGCGAGAAAAGCTGCTCCGGGTCTCCCTGGTGTGCTGGGGGGGACTCCCCAGCACAGCAGGGAGACCCGAGCAAAGCCGCACAGGCGGCGGGGTCCCCCGCCTCTGCGGCTTTGCTCCGAGGCAAAGAAGCAAAGCCGCACGGGCAGCGGGGTCCCACCGCCTGTGCGGCTTTGCTCGGGTCTCCCTGCTGTGCTGGGGAGTCCCCCCCAGCACACCAGGGAGACCCGGAGCAGCTTTTCTCGCCCCGGAGGACGCGGTGGCGGGGCC